TGGATGTTTGTTAGATCCATGAGGTGGATGTTTGTTAGATCCATGAGGGGGATGTTTGTTAGATCCATGAGGTGGATGTTTGTTTGATCCATGAGGTGGATGTTTGTTGGATCCATGAGGTGGATGTTGGATCCATGAGGTGGATGTTTGATCCATGAGGTGGATGTTTGTTAGATCCATGAGGTGGATGTTTGTTAGATCCATGAGGTGGATGTTTGTTAGATCCATGAGGTGGATATTAGATCCATGAGGTGGATGTTTGATCCATGAGGTGGATGTTTGTTAGATCCATGAGGTGGATGTTTGTTAGATCCATGAGGTGGATGTTTGTTAGATCCATGAGGTGGATGTTTGTTAGATCCATGAGGTGGATGTTTGTTAGATCCATGAGGTGGATGTTTGTTAGATCCATGAGGTGGATGTTTGTTAGATCCATGAGGTGGATGTTTGTTAGATCCATGAGATGGATGTTTGTTAGATCCATGAGGTGGATGTTTGATCCATGAGGTGGATGTTTGTTAGATCCATGAGGTGGATGTTTGTTAGATCCATGAGGTGGATGTTTGTTAGATCCATGAGATGGATGTTTGTTAGATCCATGAGGTGGATGTTTGATCCATGAGGTGGATGTTTGATCCATGAGGTGGATGTTTGTTAGATCCATGAGGTGGATGTTTGATCCATGAGGTGGATGTTTGTTAGATCCATGAGGTGGATGTTTGTTTGATCCATGAGGTGGATGTTAGATCCATGAGGTGGATGTTTGTTAGATCCATGAGGTGGATGTTTGTTAGATCCATGAGGTGGATGTTTGATCCATGAGGTGGATGTTTGTTAGATCCATGAGGTGGATGTTTGTTAGATCCATGAGGTGGATGTTTGTTAGATCCATGAGGTGGATGTTTGTTAGATCCATGAGGTGGATGTTTGTTAGATCAATGAGGTGGATGTTTGTTAGATCCATGAGGTGGATGTTTGTTTGATCCATGAGGTGGATGTTTGTTAGATCCATGAGGTGGATGTTTGTTTGATCCATGAGGTGGATGTTTGTTAGATCCATGAGGTGGATGTTTGTTAGATCAATGAGGTGGATGTTTGTTGGATCAATGAGGTGGATGTTTGTTAGATCCATGAGGTGGATGTTTGTTAGATCCATGAGGTGGATGTTTGTTAGATCCATGAGGTGGATGTTTGATCCATGAGGTGGATGTTTGTTAGATCCATGAGGTGGATGTTTGTTTGATCCATGAGGTGGATGTTTGTTAGATCCATGAGGTGGATGTTTGTTAGATCCATGAGGTGGATGTTAGATCCATGAGGTGGATGTTTGTTAGATCCATGAGATGGATGTTTGTTAGATCCATGAGGTGGATGTTAGATCCATGAGGTGGATGTTTGTTAGATCCATGAGGTGGATGTTTGTTAGATCCATGTGATGGATGTTTGTTAGATCCATGAGGTGGATGTTTGTTAGATCACTGAGGTGGATGTTTGATCCATGAGGTGGATGTTTGTTAGATCCATGAGGTGGATGTTTGTTAGATCCATGAGGTGGATGTTTGATCCATGAGGTGGATGTTAGATCCATGAGGTGGATGTTTGTTAGATCCATGAGGTGGATGTTTGATCCATGAGGTGGATGTTTGTTAGATCCATGAGGTGGATGTTTGTTAGATCCATGAGGTGGATGTTTGTTAGATCAATGAGGTGGATGTTTGTTTGATCCATGAGGTGGATGTTTGTTAGATCCATGAGGTGGATGTTTGTTAGATCCATGAGGTGGATGTTAGATCCATGAGGTGGATGTTTGTTAGATCCATGAGGTGGATGTTTGTTAGATCCATGAGGTGGATGTTTGTTAGATCCATGAGGTGGATGTTTGTTAGATCCATGAGGTGGATGTTAGATCCATGAGGTGGATGTTAGATCCATGAGATGGATGTTTGTTAGATCCATGAGGTGGATGTTTGTTAGATCCATGAGGTGGATGTTTGTTCGATCCATGAGGTGGATGTTTGTTAGATCCATGAGGTGGATGTTTGTTAGATCCATGAGGTGGATGTTTGTTAGATCCATGAGGTGGATGTTAGATCCATGAGGTGGATGTTAGATCCATGAGGTGGATGTTTGTTAGATCCATGAGGTGGATGTTTGTTAGATCCATGAGGTGGATGTTAGATCCATGAGGTGGATGTTTGTTAGATCCATGAGGTGGATGTTTGTTAGATCCATGTGATGGATGTTTGTTAGATCAATGAGGTGGATGTTTGATCCATGAGGTGGATGTTTGATCAATGAGGTGGATGTTTGTTAGATCCATGAGGTGGATGTTTGATCCATGAGGTGGATGTTAGATCCATGAGGTGGATGTTTGTTAGATCCATGAGGTGGATGTTTGTTAGATCCATGAGGTGGATGTTTGATCCATGAGGTGGATGTTTGATCCATGAGGTGGATGTTTGTTAGATCCATGAGGTGGATGTTTGTTAGATCCATGAGGTGGATGTTTGTTAGATCCATGAGGTGGATGTTTGTTAGATCCATGAGGTGGATGTTTGTTAGATCAATGAGGTGGATGTGTGTTAGATCCATGAGGTGGATGTTTGTTAGATCCATGAGGTGGATGTTTGTTAGATCCATGAGGTGGATGTTTGTTAGATCCATGAGGTGGATGTTTGTTAGATCCATGAGGTGGATGTTAGATCCATGAGGTGGATGTTTGTTAGATCCATGAGGTGGATGTTTGTTAGATCCATGAGGTGGATGTTTGTTAGATCCATGAGGTGGATGTTTGTTAGATCCATGAGGTGGATGTTTGTTAGATCAATGAGGTGGATGTTTGATCCATGAGGTGGATGTTTGTTGGATCAATGAGGTGGATGTTTGATCCATGAGGTGGATGTTTGTTAGATCCATGAGGTGGATGTTTGTTAGATCCATGAGGTGGATGTTTGTTAGATCCATGAGGTGGATGTTTGTTAGATCCATGAGATGGATGTTTGTTTGATCCATGAGGTGGATGTTTGTTAGATCCATGAGGTGGATGTTTGTTAGATCCATGAGGTGGATGTTTGATCCATGAGGTGGATGTTTGTTAGATCCATGACGTGGATGTTTGTTAGATCCATGAGGTGGATGTTTGTTAGATCCATGAGGTGGATGTTTGTTAGATCCATGAGGTGGATGTTTGTTAGATCACTTAGGTGGATGTTTGTTTGATCCATGAGGTGGATGTTTGTTAGATCCATGAGGTGGATGTTTGTTAGATCCATGAGGTGGATGTTTGTTAGATCCATGAGGTGGATGTTTGTTAGATCCATGAGGTGGATGTTTGTTAGATCCATGAGGTGGATGTTTGTTAGATCCATGAGGTGGATGTTTGTTTGATTCATGAGGTGGATGTTAGATCCATGAGGTGGATGTTAGATCCATGAGGTGGATGTTTGTTAGATCCATGAGGTGGATGTTTGTTAGATCCATGAGGTGGATGTTTGTTTGATCCATGAGGTGGATGTTTGTTTGATCCATGAGGTGGATGTTTGTTAGATCCATGAGGTGGATGTTAGATCCATGAGGTGGATGTTTGTTAGATCAATGAGGTGGATGTTTGATCCATGAGGTGGATGTTTGTTAGATCCATGAGGTGGATGTTTGTTAGATCAATGAGGTGGATGTTTGTTAGATCCATGAGGTGGATGTGTGTTAGATCCATGAGGTGGATGTTTGTTAGATCCATGAGGTGGATGTTTGTTAGATCCATGAGGTGGATGTTTGTTAGATCAATGAGGTGGATGTTTGTTAGATCCATGAGGTGGATGTTTGTTAGATCCATGAGGTGGATGTTTGTTAGATCCATGAGGTGGATGTTTGTTAGATCCATGAGGTGGATGTTTGATCCATGAGGTGGATGTTTGTTAGATCCATGAGGTGGATGTTTGTTAGATCAATGAGGTGGATGTTTGATCCATGAGGTGGATGTTTGTTAGATCCATGAGGTGGATGTTTGTTAGATCCATGAGGTGGATGTTTGATCCATGAGGTGGATGTTAGATCCATGAGGTGGATGTTTGTTAGATCCATGAGGTGGATGTTTGTTAGATCCATGAGGTGGATGTTTGTTAGATCCATGAGGTGGATGTTTGTTAGATCCATGAGGTGGATGTTAGATCCATGAGGTGGATGTTTGTTAGATCCATGAGGTGGATGTTTGTTGGATCTAATAGGCGGAGTTTTCCCAAACTTTGGAGTGCTACGATATTTTAAAACCAGCTAGCTGCAAACGATGATGGCAGCCAACGCTGTCTACCTAAACATACTTACGTCATGACTACGTCAGACTGCCTACGTCGGACTGCCTACATCAGACTGCCTACCTTTACAAGCCCGCCTGTCTGTTATACGTCTGCTGCTGTCCTTGAAATATCCCTCCTTGCAGTAGTGGCAGTGCCTGCCGGCGGTGTGGTGCTTACAGTTGAGGCACACCCCCCCACTCTTCAGGCCGGACAACTCGAACAGCTCGTGATTGAAGCGACAGCGACGGGCATGCAAGTTACAGTTACACGCTGCAAGACAACACAGAGTCATGCGGTTAGAGGCATCAGCTGGGTTAGTTAGGGCTTCACTGGGTTAGTTAGGGCTTCACTGGGTTAGTTAGGGCTTCAGGTGGGTTAGTTAGGGCTTCAGGTGGGTTAGGTAGGGCTTCAGGTGGGTTAGTTAGGGCTTCAGGTGGGTTAGTTAGGGCTTCAGGTGGGTTAGTTAGGGCTTCAGGTGGGTTAGTTAGGGCTTCACTGGGTAAGTTAGGGCTTCGGCTGTGTACACGAGGGTTGGGTTCACATACAACAAGCAAAAGTCACGCCAAAAAGGGGTTTATGGTTAGGATGGGGAAGGGTTAGTGTAACAACCAAGATGCAGGCTGGGCATCAGTATGTGATACAGGCAGGACATTAGCAGGCAGGCAGGGCATTAGCAGGCGGGCAGGGCATTAGCAGGCGGGCAGGTACCTTTACAGGCCATCCTGTGGCTGATAGCCTTGCTCTTGTCCCGGTAAAAGCCCTCCTTGCAATAGTTGCAGTTGCGGCCGGCGGTGTTGTGCTTGCAGTTGAGACACACCCCCCCGCTCTTGTAGCCCGACAGTTCGTACAGCTCCATGTTGAAGCGACACTTGCGGGCGTGCAGGTTGCAGTTGCAGGCTGGGTGAGAGGAGAGGAGTTGTACGGACAGGTGGCTCAGGTAAACAAAGACGGGGGGGGGGGGGGTGAGCACGCCTGCCTGCTTCGATTGACTCATTACAGACAATCCAAAAACTGCAAACATTTTCTTTAAATACTTGCTGGGGCAAGGGGAACATGAACAAACACATAATTATTGGGGGTGGGGGTGATCACATGGGGGGGGGGGGGGGGGTGATCACATTTTAAATTAAATTTCTAAAAGATCGAATTGATAGCCATAATGCAATATTCTTAAAGTGTAGGCCTATATTATTTAATTTAATGATTTTTAAATTAATATGGATGTGGTTTTGTTTAAGCAAATTTCAAACTTATCTTTTTAATTAAAGTCATATGTAATTTTAAAAAATCAAAGAAAATGTATCACCCTTCACAAAAACTTAAAAAGTGTACAAATTATTTCCCTTTGTTCCTTTATACATTTTTAAAAGCCACCTCCCCCCCCCTTCTATTTATGTTTACGTTTGTGTTTGTGCTTTTTTTTTTGTTGGTTGTGTTTACGGTTGATCCGAAAAGTAATATATTTCCTAAACCCAAACAATGCCTGGTATATGCTGCTTAATAAACACCAAGTCATGGTCCTTTACAAAGGCCAGTGCAAGGCCTGGCCGGAACGGTTAGTATATCTAGACATGGTCCTTTACAAAGGCCAGTGCAGGGCCTGGCCGGAACGGTTAGTATATCTAGATATGGTCCTTTAGAGAGATAGTCGAGTGTGAGCATCAAATAAAAACGGGCTACTTCGTGTCTTACAGGTGTAAAGTTGCCAGATAACAACGAGCTACTTCGTGAATGTCTTACAGGTGTAAAGTTGCCAGATAAAACGGTGTGTCCGTGCACCTTGACTGAGTGTCCAGGTGCGTCAGACAGGAAGGGCCACTTAGACATGTTTTTATTTTTTGGAACAGAAGTTACGTCAGCACCGAGTTTTTAGTTCAGACATCAATATACGCTGGTACAGACAGACAGACACACAGACAGACAGACAGCTAGACAGACACAAAGACAGCTAGACAGCTAGACAGACAGACAGACAGACAGCTAGACAGACAGCGAGACAGCTAGACAGACAGACAGACAGCTAGACAGACAGCTAGACAGACAGACAGACAGACAGACAGACAGACAGACAGACAGACAGACAGACAGACAGACAGACAGACAGACAGAAAAACAGACAGACAGACAGAGAGACAGACAGACAGACAGAGACAGACAGACAGACAAACAGACAGACAGACAGACAGAGACAGACAGAGACAGACAGACAGACAGACAGACAGACAGGCTGGCAGGCAGGCAGGCAGGCAGGCAGGCAGGCAGGCAGGCAGACAGACAGACAGACAGACAGACAGACAGACAGACAGACAGACAGACAGACAGACAGACAGACAGACAGACAGACAGACAGACAGACAGACAGACAGACAGACAGACAGACAGACAGACAGACAGACGAGGTGCCTATATCGATAAAGTCCGCCTCTGTGAAGAGCCAACTAGTTCAGCTGTGAAGCCAAGGCGTGAAGTCTTTTATCCCCCGCCAAATTGGTGCAGGCTTTGTAAGAATGGCGGTAAACAAACGGGGTCTGCGAGCCCAGCAGGGCGCCGAGCGCTAGACGTCACCCCGGCACACAGATCAACCCGAGCGAGCTGGCTCGTGAATGGCGCCCAGCGGGAGAGAAATCTCGCTCAACGGTAAGTTGGACGAGAGTTGGATGGGACTGAACAGGATTAAATTATTGTGTCAGGACAGGTAAATGAAGCAAACAATAGTCGGACAACAGGCCCTATGGTAGCGGCAGGGCGGCAAACACGGGCGCTGGCTCTTGTTGGTGGCGCCCTCACTGGGGGGGCGTGTTGTTCATACCGCAGGCACCCCAGCGGGAGTGCGACCTGCTAGCCATTCATGTCCTGATTAGATGTGTTGATGGCCAACCAAATGTGGCCATTCATGTCCTGATTAGATGTGTTGATGGCCAACCAAATGTGGCCATTCATGTCCTGATGGCCAACCAAATGTGGCCATTCATGTCCTGATTAGATGTGTTGATGGCCAACCAAATGTGGCCATTCATGTCCTGATGGCCAACCAAATGTGGCCATTCATGTCCTGATTAGATGTGTTGATGGCCAACCAAATGTGGCCATTCATGTTCTGATTAGATGTGTTGATGGCCAACCAAATGTGGCCATTCATGTTCTGATTAGATGTGTTGATGGCCAATCAAATACATCCGCCTACATAGTCTAACGCCACCTACTATTCCACCCCCCTCCCAGTGACAACCCCGTCAAATACAATTTTTAAAAGCCCCCCCCCCCCCTGTGAAGATTGTAGGAAAAATATTTTACATATAATATTTAATAGAATTTAATGTTCGAATCTTCTCGGTTTCAATCGTGTTTTTTTAAGTACTTTAAATTAGCGCGAACTTGCATGAAGTTAATGTGACTTGCTGTTCTCAACTAATCACAACAATAGGTCAACCACCTTTACTGCCCACATTTATCACGCTTATTACATAATAAAGCCTAGGATCAAAAGAGAAAGCCGACGCGGTACAAAGGCTGTGATTGACGCAAAAAGTAAACAACACACAATATGGACGGACAATGCCGATTGAGGAGAAGCCGACCAAGATAAGGCCTAAATGTATTTTGTAATAATTTTCCACAGTGTGTTTAACTAAATACGTTATCTTACAGTATTTGAACTTATTATTGTTATAAATCATAATGCTTTTAAAGTTTACAAATACGCTACCGAAAAAAATTACCAAGCACATTAATTTTACAATTATTAACAATTTAAACCAAAATTATTATTTTTTTACTTTATTTCTGTGACTTTTTTGCTATACAATTTTTCTTTTGTGACTTTTTTTTCTGTGACTTTTTTTTCCTAGCAAAAAAAAAAGTTTCTTTTTTTCTTTATCCTGTGACTTTTGTTTCTGTTCACGGGACAACTCCGCCACCACCCCACTCCCGCCACCACCCCACTCCCGCCACCACCCCACTCCCGCCACCACCCCACTCCCACAAGAGAACTCCGGAACTACAACACTCCCCCCCCCCCCCCCCTCAATGAAGACAAATATCTAATTACTTCTAGTCTTGGCAGATGAACATTTCACGTCTACAGAACCCGACTAGGCCATCTTCACGTGGCCGAAGTGGCCAACATCAAATGGCCAACATTAAGAGTCCGACACCATGTGGCCATTATCAAGTGGCCAAGATTAAGTGGCCAACGTCACTGGCCTACCGGAGCTTAAGTAGACTATCTCTTGCACTAGCTGGGCAAAAAGTGAATGTCAGGAGCGTAGAAAATGGCGGATGTTCAACTTCCGCCTCCCCGCAAGACAGTCACGTGACACGTGACCCCACTGTGCCCGGGTTCGGGTTACCCGGGTAATCATCAAGCACACAATACCCGGACAATCCCCGGATGATACCCGGACAATACCCGACCACAAGCAGTCCCCCTGTAACCGATACACCAACAGCAAGTTTGGCAAGTCCAAGACATATTTACGATCGTGGAAAAACGCGACAGGCCACCTGTGTGGGGGTGGGGGTGGGGGTTGGGGGGGGGGGGGGGGGTCCTGACTTGATCATGTGACTTGTGCCCAGATAAATCACACTTTGTGTCGCTTGACTTAATTCCGCTAATTAGACCAGTGACGTCATTCTATCCAGACCAGAGGCAGGAAACCCGAATGTGACCAACTACTGGTGACATCAAAGGTGACCAACTACTGGTGACATCAAAGGTGACCAACTACTGGTGACATCAGACCAAAGGTGACCAACTACTGGTGACATCAAAGGTGACCAACTACTGGTGACATCAGACCAAAGGTGACCAACTACTGGTGACATCAGACCAAAGGTGACCAACTACTGGTGACATCAAAGGTGACCAACTACTGGTGACATCAGACCAAAGGTGACCAACTACTGGTGACATCAAACCAAAGGTGACCAACTACTGGTGACATCAAAGGTGACCAACTACTGGTGACATCAAAGGTGACCAACTACTGGTGACATTAAAGGTGAACAACTACTGGTGACATCAAAGGTGACCAACTACTGGTGACATTAGACAAAAGGTGACCAACTACTGGTAACATCAGACAAAAGGTGACCAACTACTGGTGACATCAGACCAAAGGTGACCAACTACTGGTGACATCAAAGGTGACCAACTACTGGTGACATTAGACAAAAGGTGACCAACTACTGGTAACATCAGACAAAAGGTGACCAACTACTGGTGACATCAGACCAAAGGTGACCAACTACTGGTGACATCAGACCAAAGGTGACCAACTACTGGTGACATCAAAGGTGACCAACTACTGGTGACATTAGACAAAAGGTGACCAACTACTGGTGACATCAGACCAAAGGTGACCAACTACTGGTGACATCAGACCAAAGGTGACCAACTACTGGTGACATCAGACAAAAGGTGACCAACTACTGGTGACATCAGACCAAAGGTGACCAACTACTGGTGACATCAGACCAAAGGTGACCAACTACTGGTGACATCAGACAAAAGGTGACCAACTACTGGGGACATTAGACAAAAGGTGACCAACTACTGGTGACATCAGACCAAAGGTGACCAACTACTGGTGACATCAGACCAAAGGTGACCAACTACTGGTGACATCAGACAAAAGGTGACCAACTACTGGTGACATCAGACAAAAGGTGACCAACTACTGGGGACATTAGACAAAAGGTGACCAACTACTGGTGACATCAGACCAAAGGTGACCAACTACTGGTGACATCAGACCAAAGGTGACCAACTACTGGTGACATCAGACAAAAGGTGACCAACTACTGGTGACATCAGACAAAAGGTGACCAACTACTGGTGACATCAGACAAAAGGTGACCAACTACTGGTGACATTAGACAAAAGGTGACCAACTACT